GACTAAGACAAACCCAGCTTTTGAGTAAATGTGAACACTATTAAGTTTTCACATAAAATTTATTTGAAAATAAATTATGGTAAGAATTTATTATTATGACAATGATAGAAACTCATAATTTAATGTTAAAAATGTCAATACTCATTTTTTTTTTTGCAGCAATTAAAACTATAACCTGATTTGGGTATGCTATTTTTCCTGCTTGCATAGAGTCACATCATGGGGAGTGTAGAAAGCCTGGCAGGTGTGTGAACTGAGGAGAAAGGCAAGGAAGGCATTCTGGAGCATCCTGGTAACAGACAAGGACATGATCCTTTAGTACAGCATCACCCAGAAACCAAAGGCTTCTTGTAATTTCATTGCAGGAAGTCTTCTGCCAACTTGTTGAATTCATTTGCAAATCGTAAATGCAGGTTGTGCTTGCCTTCTGGCATTAGGTGCAACCTAGGAGACAAACCCAGCTTTGGATCAGTTGTACATATTTAAAATGCTTCCATCTCGTCAACACTTGATGAGAATCTTTCAGAACTATATCAACTTCCCATAAATGTGAATGTCAGGGTGAACTCCTTAAGGGAATTCTGACCACCCCAAAAATAGACCATACAGCCATCACTGACCAGTGACAATATGTTTGGGATTGCATCAGGTAACAAACATGGTTTGACTCGAAAACGGTGGAGAAGGTGACCTGGTAATTACTTTAAAAATCCATTTTTAACAAATGTGTTTTTAAATTGGGGAAATGATTTTATTGGAGAAATGATTACAAAAAATAACAGGGATGATAGTGACTGACTGCAATCCTAACTCTTAAAAGGAAAGATGACAAAAATGAGAAATGGTCAGAATTCACTGAGTTGCACAGGTGAGGTTTTGGGTTTTTTTTGTATCTGCATCGTGGGCAAGCCTAGCAGGAATTCTTAGCCAGCAGCAGCCTCCATGCGAGGTTCCAAGCCATCCTGTCATGTTCAGACTGCAGAGCAAGTAAGCCCGACTACAGGCAGCAGACGGATGGAAAAATGCCTCAGGAATTTGGGGTGGGTGACGGGGTTCATCTGCAGCCATGTGTGCAGAGCTACTTCTGCAGCTGTCACATCGTGTCTTTGGTGGACCCCTCTGTCCTGGAAAGGCTTCTTGCATTTAATCTGATGTGGGTCAAAGAGGAGACTGATTTGCAATTTAAAAAATACAATTAAAAAATATTAACTATTAGCTTCTAAAGTGATGAGGTAGAGTTTAAACAGAGCTTTTAGGCGGCAAGCTCAAGTTCAAGCCATGCTGTCTACAGTGACAACTGGGTGTCAGAAGAGCTAGACTGGAGCAAAATTCCAATGATGCATTCTGTGCTTCTCTGGTCTTTCAGCAGCAGTACTGATGATGGCTCTTAGCAATTCAGCAGGCAATTGGGAGGACTCGGGGAAGGCAGTCACCCTCAGAGGATGCTGGGCCTCCTGCGGGGGTGGGAGGACCAGGATGATCAAGTGAAAAGGAAATATATACTGAGGGTATCGTTCAGATGCAGCTGAAAGATTAATAATGCTATTAATAACCAGAATCTTTTAAATTTAAAAGGGGCTTCTTAGAAGGGATGAGTTATACTAGTCCCAAAGATGACCCAGCTGCACACACAGGCGTGGGCTGCAGGGATGCTCAAAGCTGCAGTTTTTAGGATACAGAAAAGACTGTTTCCCAGGATGCTGGGGTAACAGAAGGACAAGTGTAGGCCAAACTACAACTATCTATCTGGATTAAGCTGGGTTCAGAGGCCAAGAAACCCTGACCTAACCATCCTGAAGTACATCTAGAGATAGCCAATTCAGCTGTCATCTGTTCTGCCCTGTTTCTACAATTTGCCTGTTCCCAAGAAGGACAGGAAGAGGCCAGCTGTGAACCCCCTCCCCCCCCCCCACACACTTTCTTTTAGCTATACAGTGAAGCCTAAAGTTTTTCTACAACATCTCTAGATCTTGGGAAAACAAACATGAGATTCTTTATATTAAAAATATGAGAGAATTACTCTAGATGCCAGGTGGGTGCTTTCGTGGATGCTTGGATGGATAGTGGGTGGGTGAATGAGTGGATGGGTAGGTGGATGGATAAATGGATGGACGGATGGATAGTCTGATGAAAGTATGGAGAAAATTGTTCTCCTTGATGCCTTTCCAAGTTCTTAGTGTAAATCCTCCCTTCACTCTCTGGGGAACCTGCTGTGAAACCTCATGGGAACAGGACCAGAACAGCCAGGCATAAACACTTGGCCAGGCAGCCAGCCGCTCTGCTGCTGACCCAGTTCTTACCCAGACAACAAAAGGGTGCACATGGCTCAATGAGTGGCTTTCAAACAATCACGTTCTCCAGGAAAATCAGTAGGAAAGCTTACCACTAAACACATGTTTCAGATGGCCGTGATGTGGTGATACTTTGTTGTACTCTAATAAAGCTTGCCTGAAGATCAGAGGACAGAACTAGCCACAGAATTAGCCATAGAGGTCAGGCAGTGGTGGCACACACCCTTAATCCTAGCACTCTGGAGGCAGAGATCTATCTGGATCTCTGCGAGTTCAAGGCCACCCTAGACTACATGAGATTAATCCAGTCTAAAAGAAACAGAGCCAGGCAGTGGTGACACACACCTTTAATCCCAGCACTTGAGATCTCATGCCTTTGCTACCAGTATTTAGGAAGTACATGTGCCATTAATCCCAGCACTAGGAAGGCTGAGATGGAAAGTGAGATGGCTGGGCAGAGAAAAGCATATAAGGCTTGATAAAACAGGAACTAGAGGCCCTTTTGGCTGAGGACTCAGAGGCATTGACTCAGAGGATTCGTGGAGTTGGCGAGGTGAGAAGTGGCTGAGGCTTCTTCCTATGTCTCTCTGGTCTTTTATCATTTACCCCAATATCTGGCTCTGGGTTTTTATTATAAGACCATTTAGGATTCGTGCAACATCGTGAAGGAGCCCTAACGGTTTAAAGTTCCTATTTGCAGGGGAGGGGTCCTATAGCATGAGGCATCTTTGGAAAGTCTAGATCTCTTAGGAAGAAGCTGTGAAATTTGGGGTAAACCCAGTGGTCATCTCAGCTCTGCTGATCCAGCCCCTCCCTCTCAGTCATGGTGGCATGAGATGCTGATCTCACTGGCACCATTTTGTCTCCAGTCTCACTATTTTCAGCTTTCAAATGAAACTGTGAGAGCTGTCCACTAGTGACAAGGCCATAATGAATGTGCTCTAGCATCCTTACTCTGAATGAATGTGACAAGATCCTCAATATGTTCTGAACCAATAAGTCGGCCAGGAGGACTGTATGCACCTCTGCTTTCTCTGGAAACCAAAAGAGCAGCTGATTCTTTGTGAGGGGCTCTTGTCCATCATGAAACGGGACAGCAACAGGCTACTCAGACCTTTTCCTCATCCTTCAATGGCAGACCTCCAAAGCCATGCAAACCTGGCGGCCCATAACAGAAACGGAATGTCTTCTTTTATTGATCATGCTTTTGAGAAAGTCCTAAGGAAAAGGTAAAGATGTGAGAACTACAAACTTCTTCCTCTAGTGAAGCCAGAAGGCACCACGCCCCAGACATTATCCTACTAGACGTTCGGGGGCTGGGGGCAGACATCTCAAGGAGAGGCTTCTTTTCCTAAATCTTATAATCATGTCTCACTCGTGGGAAAGAAATTAAATCATTGTGGTGTGGGGAGGGGGAGCACACGCCCCCCTGGAGCACTTCCACCAGCTCTGGTGTGTGGAGGACAAGGCTTTCCCAAACCTGCGGAGACACCAGGGATCCAGCTGGGGCCCACCAACTGCAGTGAGAGATGGACATAAACTGAGGGGGTCATCAGCAGGTGAAGGGCTTTATGGAGGCAGCATGGCCTCAGCACCAGCAGTTACGCCCTTACCCAGAGCCACCATTTTTCCCCTGGAAAACGGGGTAGTAATGGTACCCCTGAGATTATCATGGGGACCAAAAGAAAGGATGCATCCACATGCACCAGTCTGTAGGCATTTCATTGGTGTCTGCTATTGGTAAGTCCTTAGGAAAGTTCTAACTAAGCACAGCAAATTAATGAATATTCTGACTCAAGAAGCATAATTTATTGGTTGACATAAAATCTCCAATTGGAAGAATTTTTTTCTAAGAAAAGTTTTGCAAAAAAAAAAATGTTTAAGATTTACCTGGAAAGGGTCAGACTCTGCTCGTTTTGAATGGAAAAGGCCTCAGCCTAGTAAGCGCTAGTGACTTCTGTTTGGAGCTAACCCTGTGGCCACAGGGGAGCCTAGCTGACTGCTCTCCTCTGCTAAGCTTCTCCAGGGGAGGAATCACCTGGGCATGAAGGTGGGAGCTCCCAACAAGATGTGGTATAAAAGTACAGGCCGCAGTGGGTGCCGTCCATCAGCCTCTCCCTCCCCAGGCCCTTGGTCTTGCTTTGCTATATGACTGAGAAAAGGAACTCAGTTGCTATTGTGAACCGATTCCACCTTCATGTTCCAATTCACACTGCTCCAGCAGGCCAAGATATTTTACATTGGTGGCTAGACTTGCTGAGCCAAGGAAGCCCCAGAAAGAGGCCTTCCCTCCCTTCAGTGACCCAGACAAGAACACAGCAACTAGCCACCACTTACCTAGATGACCATTTCTGCCCCTCATCTCTACTCTGTTAACATATTCTCCAGGAAAGCCACCCAAGCCAAGAACCCTGTGAAGGGGAACATGTGCCTGTCAAGCCTTCCCCACAGACATGGTTAATTTCACATATCAGTTTGACTGGATCTCAGGGTGCCCAGATATTTGATCAGAAAATATTGCAGCTATTCTTGAGTGTGTTTGGGAATAACATTAAGACCTGAATCCATAGGCTGAGCAAGGTAATCGCCCTCCCTAATGTGAGTAGAGCTGGTTTAATCTGTTAAAAGTCAGGTTGAGACATTATTACCTTGTACCTACAATTTACGTACCAGAAAACAAGCTAGAGATGTCACTTGCAATGCTCAAGGGTGCACAGTCAAATAGCCCTCCAGTGCTCTTAATCCCAAGGCCACAAATGCCACTCAGCATCCTTTCATTTCCAGACAAGACTCCCTTGGCTTTTCCTCTTGGTTGACGCAAACCTACAATGTCGCTCTGTACACACTGACTTTACCCCGTTCTCTCCCACTTGCCTGGCTCCC